TCCTTGGTTCAGAGACTGCACCCACGAAGCTTGACCCACTGTCACTTTAATCTCTGGAGGTTTCCCTCTTCTTCCAATAAAACGTAATAAGGCCATTATAAATGAATCAGTATTTAAACTATACGTCATTCCAACATGTACTGCTCCTGTCTGCAAACAAGTAAATATACGTCCATATCTTTTTCCAATGACTTTCCTCTTTTGACTAAAAAGGATTCAAAGTAGTCTACTACCGCTGAGAAGCCATACCAGCCTTGTTGCATTCTACAAGCTGGAAGCGGCGCCATCAGTTGTTGTCCTGGATTCATCGTAAACCGCCGGCATGTCATACACTTTCCAATCGCTTTTCTAACCGTGCTGGTTCCTTTAACTATCCAATAGCTTTTTCGAATTGTGACCAGTACTTGAGACGTTGCTGTGTGCCCTTGTTCTTCATGATAATGTCTAATTATCATTTCCGTCACTAAGTGTCGAGTGGGTAAAATTATTGGATGTTTAAAAGCATTTGGGAAATCTGAGTAGCTTAGTCGACCTCCAACACAGAGTAACCCATCAAGCATTATCGGTGATAAACCCTTCAGATCATTATGACTAACAACTTTACTGCTGTTTTTAAATTCACTAAGTAATTCTCCATACACTTCTTTCTGAACCATCATTATGATTTTACGCTTGGCAATGTCAAGCTCTTTGACCTTTAAACATCCTAAATGAACGGATCCTTCACGACTCTGTGAACGAAGTACCACTAGGAATTCTAAGAACCTTCTTAGCCAGGCTACAGAACTGATTAATTTCAACCACTCAGAATAATAAGAAAGAATAGGTGACATGTTGTACTTTATACTACTCTAGTTAGCCACAGCAGTTTTTCTGGACTCAATATTGTCAGGAGTAAGTTCCGGACAGTTAGTAATTGTTATACAAAAATCGCCATGCAGTAAAGTAGGATATTTAGACCAAGATTCAAGATTGGTCATTTTTTGTATACCTCTCGAGGTTCAATCAGCTGGATTCTGTGACGACTTTACATAACTCCATTGTTCAACCTTCGTATACTGGTGAACAACAGCGAAGCGGTTGGCTATATGGGTGCTATATCGGTTTCCGGTGTTCTTAATGTAGTATAACACTATCATGGAATCTGTATGGAAGTTCACATCGCAGAAAAATTTGGGCAGACCCCTTCGTAAGACTTCACTCGGCCTTACATTTAACACCTCTGCGCCATCTGAAGCCTCGGTATAGTAACTTGTTTGATAAGTGATACCCTAGTGTTGCTGTACAACAAGATACAGTATAGTGGTTTCTTCAAATAGCTAACTCGTGAGTACGCAACTGCTCCATAACCAATCTCGAACGCATCACTGAACAAATGTAATTCTATTTTCACGTCAGGTTCGTCGATCCCATTCTTGATCCCTCGGGCTACCGTTAAATGACCTACCTGACGCATAAAATTCACCCAATTTAGCCACGTGGACATGTATGGCTCGTTGAGAGGCTGATCGCAGTCTATTTGGGATTTACGTAGTTTTTGCAGGAGGAGTTTGGCAGTAAGTCAGACTGGAGCAATTAGACCCAAAGGATCGAACAGAGAAGAAACTACAGATTGAACCCTTCTCGTAGTAAAGGCTTTTCTGGTGCATCGAAGTAAAACTTAAATACATCTTGTTTGAAATCCCACTCCACACCTGGAATTCGATGGGTGGTATCATAACTCGTTGACATTTCCACCAAAGACTCTTCTTTACATACATCAGACAAGATGGTTCTGACTTCTTCTGAGTTGGTGATCCATTTCTTTAATTTAAAACCTCCTCTATATAATAATTCACTTATCTGCTTAACGAACTTCTTTGCCTGATCACAAGTGGAAAAGGATACCAAAAAATTATGAACATAGAAATTGTTCTTGACAGCATCTACGACATAACGATCATAACCATCAGAGAATGTTTTGGGCTGTCTTATTCATGGCGCAGTTAGCACAAAACGGCGATGACGTGGCACCAAAAGGATGAGGGGTCATTTGAAACTCGAATGGTTCCCTCGACATGTCTCCCTCCTGCCAATGCAGAAATCTTAAAGCTCCTCGATCAGACTCAGGGACCCTCACCTGTATGAACATTTCCTCAACATCTGCAGAGATTGCAAATGCCTCCTTGCGAAAACCCAATAATAAACACACTAGCTCAGCAGTGGCGTCGGGTTCTTGATAAATCCTGCCATTTAAGGGAGATCCCTGCAAACCTGGCGGCACAATCAAGGACCACTCTAACTTTTTCTGGATTTTTCAGGTTTAACACTCCCTGACGAGGTAAATGCCACCGGGGGAGATAATTAGGCTACAACTGTATTTCAGAGACCTTCTCCACATAGCCCTTAGTAAAGTTACTTTCAATACTTTTGGTATACCTGATGTGCAGACTGTCATCCTTCAACAGCCTACGCTTCAAACACTGTTATCTTCTTTTTGCATGACTTATCCGTGCCATATCGATTGGGTCTTCCGCGTTCACCACCTCTGGCCCTCACCAGATGTTGTATGTTGAATATAAATCTTCTCAGTTTTTGTCTTTAAGTCTCGAAGAACGTGTGGTTAAGAATCAAAAGAGCGACAGCAAATGAATGGAAAATACATGCAATAATTTTAAAATGTTTGGTTTATTCCCCAACACATTCAAAATCAAAATGCACGTGTAGATTATCTAAAAGTTAAACAAAGTGGGATTATGATGATGAAAAATGATTCGGTGAACAGAAATTTTGTCAAATCACATTAAAATACTTGCCAATAAATGGTAAGTAATAGTTTAATTTATGGGCTATACAGATATAGTTTGCGTCGAAATGTCGATACTAACACTACTTTTCGTTCAAACTAGAAAGCTAATTCATGATAACGCCGTTATGCTGTCTAGTGTTTCTCATTAGATAATGTATATACATCAGTGTGACTGAAAATCCCATCAAGATTCCTTCGACATAGAATTATTTTGTTATAATGCATAACTTAAAGCCACTTATTGTGAGCGTCTCTTTATACCATTATTTATTTGGTGTACGTGACTGCTGTTTATGATATCTGCAGATTAACACAACTAAAGGCTTCAAATCACCTTTTCGATTTTCAGAAATAAAACTTCCACGTTCACTATCTTATAAACATTCAAACATAAAATGGAAGGTAGAAGGTAAGTTTTGAAGAATTGTTCGCTATTGTTACGTTCAATCATTTTCGACTGATCTAATTAACATTTTCGTACTTTAAACTTCAGGAGATCATGCTGGTAAGCTTATAACGTGAAAATCTGAATTATTGGGTGAATGATCAGTTAATAAGCTATTTAGATCTCTGTTAGCTAGTTTTGTTTTAAAACTCAAACTAGTGCTCTCTTACATATTATTTAACTAAACCGAATGATTTTTGGACTTAATATTGTCTTTGATACACGCCTTGGCGCTATTTTTTGTGTGTGCACTTAAAATTACAAATCTCATTTCTCAATACGGAAAATGTATATGAAAGTAGCTATAGTTGTGCTAACGTTGGCTTTCGTTCATTTGTTTTACCAGTTTTTTGCGTATATGTGATATCTGCTTGTTAGCTGTAATTAAATGAAATCAGACGGTAGCATCACTCCTGCGTTTTTTGAAACTCCCCAGCATCCATCCGACTGGCAGTACTTGGGCTTTGGGAAATTCAAATGAATATATCTGATGAAATGTTATCTTTATTTTGCACAACACGAGCAATTACTTGATTTTGATTCTCTTTTTTTTCGCTACTAATTACGTCTTCAAGTCTACGTCTGAGGGTCTTTCTAAGCACCTTTCAGGTATTTAGTTCTTATCCATTTCTCTCGTTGTAATGTCTTTGTGGTTCATTTGGCAAACCTCTGTGATCCAACTTTTTTTGAGTGCATTGACAGATGGAGATTCAGTCACTTGTCCAGGTAGCGAGTTTTGTTCACTGATAGTTTAAAGGGAAAGTTGATAGTCAACTGACAGGTAATTTTTTCTGGACATGTGTACATTTCTAGTGTCCTCGTTAATTCTTTATTTTGGAAGATTAAAAGGTGAGTGCACTCAAGATCCGTAATTTCCGTTAAGCGATTTGAAGATTGCCACCTCTTGTCCTCCTGTATGACGAGAGAAATAGTTTTCGTCCAGCCAGTCTCTCGTCATACAGGAGCTTGGCGGTTCCATGACCCACCTCATTTTCAGTTCTTCGAACCTTTTCCAACAACACTGTCCTTTCTAGTTAAGTAGTGGCTGCTTGTATGAGATACCTGAGTTTCAAACGAACGAAAACTGAATACAAAGAGTGTTTTTTGTATCAACATGGCTAATCGGCTATACTTACTACCCAAGGGGGTTCTTAAACCTTGGCTGCTATCACACAGCGGTGTGCAGCGGTTTTTAAATATTAGCTGCCCAAGGCCCCTAGATTTTTGTGTTTCTGAACAGAGGGTAAGAAAAGTTGATAACGATTTGTTTCTAAACTAATGCTTATTCAAGTCCTGTATTTTTTGAAAGCTAAAAGTCTTGCTGACTGTTTTCGGGACCCTTAGTTATCAACTTTCAGGCAACTACACTACATATCATTTCTAGTTCAGTGGTATTGAAATTAATACACTTGCTGTATTTACAATAATAAGACCACACTAGAAAGGCCAAGTCACTGTAATTTATGATTGATGTTGCTGAAGAATAAAATTAGATTAATTTACATAAACAGCTATTTCACTTCAGCTGCTAGTATTGTTTTCCATTGAATATTTTAGTGAAATCTAAATCAACAATTGAGGAACTGAAGGTTTATACCTTTCGACTATATTAAAGAACATACATTGCTTACTTTACGACGATAACGAAGAATAGGCTACGTATGACTGATTTATGGAATTATATTTCAAAATAATAGACAGTGCTGTAAAAATATGTGCCACTGATATGGTCATGGATTGGCTACGCTATCTGTTTTAATTTATTCACTAAAATTTTAAAATAAAGGATAATTTGTCTAAACACCTAGCTTTAAGCTCACAGGTGTATGAATTATTGCCTCAGCTTTCTAGTTATTCTTTTGAGTAAAGATATTAGTTGTACATGCCACTCTTTGAGCAAATCTGAATATTCAAACCGGCTTTTGTTAGTGATATGAGTTAATTTGTTTAGAAGAGAACTTTCAAATAATCTCACTGTATTTTGTTTAGGCCAAGAAATGTTTACTATAATAATATTTTGTATTCTTTGTAATTTTTTGGTGCATCCATGTTTTGGACATTTTGTTCACTTGCAAGTTTTTCATAGCATAATCCATGATAAATGAAGGTTAACAATTCAGGGAAAATATTTCAGTTTATCAGTATTGGATATTTTCAGCTCGATGGTGCCTTAAGTTGACACTCACTTTGTTTTGATGTCTAAAGTCATTAACGTAATTTTGACGGGAAATTTTGTTCTACTTATGAATCCAAACAAGCATATTTAAAGGCTTTAGAGCTCACTTGCACACTATAACCGCATTATTCACTTAAAACAGATTCTACTTAATCATGGAAAATATATCATTTTGAAATCCGATACTCAGTTTCTTTCTTGTTTATAAAGATTTAGTTCCCTAACACTGCATTTAGATTTTTGGAATGCCGAATATATTTCTAAGCGAATGGTATGTAATTTTCTATTTTCTTTTTGTTTATAAGGCTTAAAATTAACTTTGTTTTTAGTTAAAACCTTAAGAATTGAGCTTAATATTACCTTTTTGTTGTTAGCTTCTCCGCTTCTAAAATACCATTTGCTAACATAAAACAGTTCGGAAGGGATCCTGCATCCTAAGAACCACGCAAAAATTTCTATCATTTCTGAAATAAAGTTCAGGACATTTTTTTGTTAGAATGGGCATGTTAATGTCGATCTACTGTATTACAACCAAATGATTTGTTTGTATTTATCTTTGTGATCTGTCTATTCTAACGTTCAAGTATGGTTATTATGGTAGAAAGTATTTTAAAATTGTACTGGGAATCTATGAGAATAAAAGTAAAGAATTACGTGTGATGCTGTGAAGTGGGACAGTGAACTCTGTAGACGCTTTTAAATAACGCTAATTGATTAAAATAAAATTCGTCACTTTTGTTATATTTTCAACTTGAAATCGTTTGAGTTATTCATTTTAAAAATTTTGAAAGGCTACTCTATGTGTGTAAATAGATTTCATCTCCATTTTAGTAGACTTTAACCCTCATCAGTTTTTTTAGAATAAGTAAAATCTATTGAAAATTTTATTGTATTTTGATTATTACTGCATGCTTGATTTTTGTTTGTTCGTTTAGTTCTTGATGTAATTTACATTTACCAACTAATTAGATATTTATGAGAACATTAGGAAACTCATGCTTTGCTTAGAATTTGGTTTTTAGTCATTTGGTTATTAGATCACAAATCTCACTAGTACGTCAGATGGCAAGCGGTTTTTTATGAAGCAGGCTAACTTGGCCAAATAGTCATGTGTTGGCAATTAAAATTATGTTTGTTCAAAAGTTTTAAGTAATTCTATCCATCAAGCTATGTAATTCGACGGATAAGTTAGACGGAATGGCACTTTTTTGAAACAAAGTGACCATAAAGAAAAACGTGTACAGAAAATAAGGAATAGAGGCGTGTTTTGTTATGTTTGAAATATTTGTTCAACTAACACAATATTATTCGCTCAAATACTTTGGTTGTTAATAGTATTGGTTTGATTATTGCTTTCTATCCTAGTTAGTTATTCTGAAGTATACATATTCAAATGAACATATTTAAATCTCTTGATCCATGCCAAAATCATGGGTAATTACTCGTAAATATCTCTGTCAGGTTGATTAGGTTAACGCTTAGCATTGTTAGTTTTCACTGTGTTCGAATTCGATGTGTATGTATTTGAGTTTTTTTACATAATTTATCACTTATTAGCTTACTGATGTTTTCCAAAGTTTTGAGATAACTAAATTTTTTACTTATATTCAGTAAGGTCAATTTTAAATATTTTGGGTGATATTTGTTACTTTGTCGAAGGTTTGAACGCCGAGCAACGGAATGGACACCTGGTATGGAAGGTAAATATGTTGCCCGAGGACAATTTACGGGTGAATGTATCGCTGTTCTCACAAGCGGTGGAGATGCTCAAGGAATGAATGCAGCTGTGCGAGCTGTAGTCCGTATGGGAATATACTGCGGATGCCGAGTATTTTTCATCAGAGAAGGATATCAAGGTCTTGTAGATGGTGGTAACAACATTCAGGAAGCATCGTGGGCAGATGTTTCTGGTATTCTCCAATTAGTAAGTGTATACAATAATTTATTTCATTATAAATCGCTCATGCAATTGTGCTCGTCTTCAGATATGTAATAATGGAACTGTTTACATCCAACATTTGTTTTTCACTGCTTTAAAGGTGAAAACATGGTAGGTGAAACAAACAAACTCATTATACCGATTTAAGCAGGTTTTTTCATTCTTTCTTTGTCGTCTTGATTTGTGGTTTATTGATTCGTTTATCAAAACGCTGAATGAAACAATAAAGGAGTTTTTAAGATAATCTAGGTTGTTCAAAATACTATGCTTGTGAGATATCGCCTCCAAATTATTTAGCGGATTGTTGTGTATTACCTCTTAAAACGTAAACACTGTTAGTAGCCACATTACACATTTATTTATCAGTAAAAATCAAAGTACGATAACACTTAATGAATAATAAGCAAACTCATAATAAGTTCATGAATCATTGGTAAGGTCTCAGACTATGAAGCTGAATGACGCAGGTTTAAATACACTTAGAAGCATCTGTCCACTGAAGATTACAGATACATCTTACTGACTGGTGCCAATTGCCGGAAAATCAAGGCCCGCCATGTTTTTGCCGATTATTTTCAACTTTCCAATACTACAATATGTTGAGTAGATTTGTACTAAACTGAAACGTCTTATGTTTAACTCTGCAGTTAATGTTTGTCTTAAGAAAAAAACAACTTTTAAGAAGTATTGAAAAGTTCTAAAAGGTTATGTGGATGCTTTTATGATTTTTTCCAAAACTGTATGATGTTAAAGCTCATTGAGAATAAAGTAAATACTCCGAGTCAATGCCTAATGTAGGATATATATGCATATAATAATGTGAATGGTCCAGTAAAATCTTACATTTTTCCACAATATCCGTAATCCAGTCTGGAAAATTATGAAACTCTTTATTTCATAAAAACCATGAAATAATCTTGTCATTATTTGGCCTCGACGCGTAAAGTAGGATTGACTAGACTAAAATGTCGAAACATTGACTAACATGTTACTTGATCACGCAAAACCATTTGAGTAGACGCCCGTGTTTTCGTAGACTAGGGTGATTACATCATCTAACTAGCATCCGATAACTTCAAATCAACATTTGCATGAGTTTCATGGTTTTCGGTGTGAAACTAGAAAACAGATGTTGACTTTCAACACAGTGTTCCCATGTATGCTGAGAGTCTCTAATTCTAACATGCGAGAAAGATTAGTCGAGATTCTTTTTTATTTACACCGTTATATGCCTTGTTTCAATGAAACCATTAAAATCAATTTCATTTCTAATATCTCTGAACTTGGTCAAACGCCATTTCTCATCAAAAAGTCCAGAGATTAATATTTCGACACTAATTCATTACCCAACACACAATAATTATTTAATCGTGTAGTTTATGTGGGAAGTATCACTACAGGGAAAAGTCTTATGACGGAATGATCGCAACTGTACAACTGTTCAAAACCAGATAGCATTTGACAATTATTTACTCTAAACTAGATAGAAAAAACAAACTTCCGTTAGTCTTCATAAACGTAATTCAGATAATCTTTACATACCACCTATTGGCTTCACAGATTCACCTTTTCACTTGAAAGATCAAACTGAATTGTTCAGTGTAATTTTGCTAAAGAAATCTTGAAACTATAATTACAAAAAGTTTGTTAATTTCATTATTAGAATCTTATCAAAATCTACATACGAGGGAATTAGTACTGTAGAAGTGTGAACTATTTTTTATTTGAATTCTGAGTTAAGCTTGATATGAATATTCTTTTCATTTAAACATAAAATATATTACATATTAAAAAGAGATAGAGCTGAACTACACAAAGAACAACACAACGGTGTTGTGAGCATGTGAAAGGAAGGAAAATCATGCAGTGAAATTAGCTAGAATAACCCATTGTTACATTGAATAAAAAAAGAGAATCGGAGAAGAAAATTTTCTTTTGGACGAAACTATTTACTTAAGCTGTACATTCGTATTTAGAGTTGTGTGGTAAATATATTTCGTTGAAAGGATAAAAGGATTGGGGATCCACCAACTGAAGCCCGAACTCTGCGTGCGAAAACGACATACCCAACCTCTATCCTTCCTTGGCCTAATTCCCTTATGTACAAACAATTATCTTTCATAATTCTGCCCGTAATTTATTTTCATCCTTCTGTTCTTCCCTAACCCCCGAATTATCACACAACCCCATCTGTTATTTAGAGTCTCGAATCAATTTATGATGCAATCCATATATTGCGTTACATGATATTTATAGCATACATTAGGACGATACAAAGTTGAACAGACTAACGTCTGTTAAATAACTTTACACTATAAAGTAATTTGCGAATTTGCTTACAAACTGTATTACCTTACTTATAGATGTTAATATACATAGTCACCATTCAATGTTAAGTGGAATAAACTGTGAAATATATTTTTAAAATGATGAAAGAATCAAATATGGTATTTCAATTTCATTTATATGTATTATTATAATGTTTAGGGAGGTACCAAGATTGGATCAGCTCGATGTATGGATTTTCGTGAACGTTGTGGACGTTTAAAAGCTGCTGAAAATCTGGTCAAAAATCAAATCACCAATTTAGTGGTTATTGGTGGTGATGGTTCTTTAACTGGTGCTAATCTATTTCGAGCTGAATGGTCAAATCTATTGGAAGAACTTGTCACATTAGTTAAGTTTTATTACTAGATGTATATATGTGAAATTCGCTTATGTTAAAATGAAGTTTACCTTCCTAGTAATAATTTTTAATCTGATTGATGAAGCAATTTTTTTGATTAAGAATAAAGGATGGACAGTTTTGAATATAGAACACATCCCTAAAGTAGTTGACGTTTTTCGGCTGGCTCAGCACTTTCAGTTTGTGGTGTTACATCGCTAACTGATCACAGCTAGCAAACCACTAAATGGAGGATTCGTCGTAGTATGAGATTCCACAGCAGCACATACCCAAGACCTCTTCGTAAGTCGAAACCAGTACCTACATAATTATCAGTATGTTACTATTTATAGTAATGAGCCAGGACGCAACAATTCACATTCTCCAACTTCGATCGATTCGTGATTTTTCTTGACTCTTATTCACTGATGCCTGTCTCTAAGCCCACATGACTGAACTTCATCGACTTCATGTGTAAGCAGATACTTGGTAAATACTTAAACACTTACAAATAGGCCACATAAATATATAACATGATCAACACCATTAAATATGCCTGTGCTAATATTTCCTGTAATTTATTTATCACGTACTGATTTGTGCCTCTTTGTTTATGTTAGAGATAGTAGTACTATACGATTCCTCAAGCCAAAGTAAGTAGGATGGTGGAGAAGATTTGTAGCTCAGGTGGATGATTTTGGTGGAGTTTTGTTCTCTGAGCTAGATGGTTTGGTCATGGAGCTTTCATCGTCCTTCTGAACGACATCATCAGCACAAACTTCAGAAATTCGAACACTTCACTTCTATCTAAAGTTTGTGCTGATAATTTCATTCAGAAGAACGACGAAAGCTCCACGACCAAACCATCCAGCTCAGAGAACAAAGCTCCACCAAAGTAAGTGGATCAGGGTTCAGACCTTCAACCTACAATTGGTTGTAAAATTCAAATATTACAATAGTTGAATTACCATTCCATTAATAATTTTCAGTAGCTAATTAACATTATGTCTTGCATTTTATTATTATTACAGGTAAAATTAGTGCAGAAAATGCCAAACAATTTCATCGTTTAAATGTTGTCGGTTTAGTCGGTAGTATTGACAATGATTTTTGTGGTACAGATATGACAATTGGTGCAGACTCAGCATTGCATAGAATTATTGAAGCGACTGATGCAATCTCTACTACAGCTCATTCACATCAAAGATGTTTCATTTTAGAGGTGATGGGTAGACATTGTGGTTATCTAGCACTTGTCGCATCTATGGCATGTGAAGCTGATTGGGTATTTATACCAGAAATGCCACCAGCTGATGATTGGCGCGAAAAATTATGTCATAAACTTCGAATGGTAAGTAATCACTCTTGTGTAAATTTGTTAAAGTATTTCTTAAACGAAATTTATATTGAATGAGGAGATTTTGTGGAAATCCATTAAAATTATTGGGATCGTGTGCTGATGAGGTCATGAATGCTCACTGCATACTAAGACGAAACGGCTGTCTAGCGCTCTTCGGCTTTCAGTGGTCCTCTAAACAAGGTCACTTTATGGTCTTATAGTTATTTATAGGTTCGCCTTCCAATTGATTTGTAAATTAGATGTATTTCAAGATAATTATTCACAGGCGTGTAATTAATCAGGTACGCATAAATACGATTGTGCATCGTTGAAAATAAACTCATTAAAAAAGATTCCTTCGCTGAAGAAATTATTTTCTGATTCAGTAGGTTTATTGATTGCAGATTGATTGGAGTGCTAAGATTTTAAACATTCTCTGGTATTCTTCGCATCGTCTCAGTTCAAGATATCCGAACTTATCCATAAATTTTCTGAAAGAATTTCAACTTCACTAGAATTACAGATGTTTGAATATATAATCACGATAGCAAATTCTGGTGAAAATATTAAGTGAATTTTTTTCGTAGTTCTGAGTCAAAGTTTCCCACTATTTATCTATTGTAGACTTGGTGTTTGTTCATTGAGAGACGAGTACATTAGACCGGTAAATGTAACGGAAAGAAAGTCTCAGATATGAAATTGTACTCTGCTTAATTCAATTTTAAGAGTTTGAATCTTCTTGTTGTAAGTGTTCTGGCTTGTAATTGATCAGTCTATTTTGGCATATGGATATCCTGAGAGAATTGACTCCATAATTCCATTTTGTTGCAAGCTTTTAATAAAGTGAGGTAGTAGGATCTAGAACACGCATTTCGCCCTACTTGGGGCTCGTAAGCTGGATATATCTCAGTCACTATGTTGACGTTCACTAAAAACGATACTCTATTTAGTTTAATTAGCATTAGTAGTCGTATGATTTAGGGGTATTAGTAAAATGTAGTCTGTTTTTGCTTTTTATTTTATTTCTATTTTTTTGTCCAGGTGTTCACTCAACTCGGTAAAATATTAAAAAAATTGTTCCATCAAGTTTTAGGTACTTGGCTGAATACGTACTAAAAGTAGATTTTGTCCTAGTTGACACTCATTAACAAGTCATATTTTCAGTCTTGAAGGCACTCATTCTCCTTGTAAAATTAGGATCTTTACAGTCTGAGAAAGTACCATTGAGTTGTTCAGGTCACGAATGACATTCTGGAGGGCTGAAATATTTGTCTAGTTCTTTAATGATGATCGAATTCTACCGATCAACTTACGAATACCCCTACCCGCCTAAATGACTCCACATCAGATGTCAGATTATTGGACACTCGAAAGAAAACCTCAAAGCTTTTTCATTAACTTATAATATTGTAACTAAATTTACAGGTTACAACAATGTTAAAATAAAACTTAGTAGCATAAAACAGATGATTTTATCGTCTGTTATAAAACCTATTAATGATATTAGTATCATGGAAGAGTTGTGAATCTAAGTATGTACTTTGTTACAAATGTTAGTTATATACATGTACATTAAATAAATATTTTTGTTTTGGTACACTATAGCACCAGTAACAAAAACAATATATGTTCATAAATTCGATTGTAATCTTTTCACATTGTATCATTGTAACTTGATAAACTCGATAGACTTTGATCACTCCGAAGGACAAGACAACTTAACAATAGTTGCCGCTCATTGATAGATTATTATATATATTTTATTACTCTATGAAGTTAGCTGCAACATGAGTGTGTTCCAATAACAATATCTATGTATCAGATATTTGGTGTTATAAGTTCGAATTCTTCGGGAATCATTTGTTCCATCCAAATTTTAACTGTTCATCTTCCTAATGAATGTCAAATAAAAATTATATTTTGATTTGAAACTTCTGTATTGCTTCTACCAGCCAAATGTTTTAAGAAAAACAAACAAAAGATACCATTTTTGGGATAACTCAACTCAGTAGCCACATTCAAACTTGATCAACGGAATTCTATTGTGTACATGAACCAAACAAATCACCTACTGGCTTCGAAATGACTGATTACTGTAAATATTCAATTACTGCACAACCTGTACAAATAATATTTTGACAACTAACAAATATATAATCATAATGACTATCAAAATAAATTTAGTGAGAGTTTCCCATTGATTGATTGTAACGATAACGATATCCCTAACACTTATTTGATCTGTCATAAATTGCTAATTCTTTCATAATGATCAGTATTTGTAAATGGTACCGTTGTATTTACACTTTTGTACAATCTCTTTTTCATAATTTTCATATGCATTATTTTTGATTATCAGAATCGTGAACATGGACAACGTGTCAATATAATTATGGTTGCTGAAGGTGCTATCGATAGAGGATGTAACCCTATCACTTGTGAATTGGTGAAAAATTTAATAGTATCAGAACTTCAACTTGATACACGTATAACTGTTTTGGGTCATGTACAACGTGGTGGCTCACCATCAGCCTTTGATCGTATTTTAGGCAGTCGTATGGGAGCTGAAGCTGTTCTAGCCCTAATGGATGCTGATCGTGATCCTAATCTACCATCATGTGTTATTAGTTTAGATGGTAATCAAGCAGTTCGTGTGCCACTTGTGAAATGTGTTGAGAGAGTAAGTTGTTTATACCTGTAAAATGAAATAATTTACTCATATTTCAAGCATTTATTTATCACTATGATAGGGAATTTGCGTCACCGAGTAAAACCCTCTGCTAAAACATTAAAATTAAAGGCTCAGCTTGATAACAATTATATGATGATTAGTAAAAGTCTCTGAGATGGATCCTCGGAGTCTTGTTAGGAAGCTGGAACTTGGGAAGTTGAAACATGTTAAGCATTAGATATATATCACTCATGTCATTGAATAACGGTTGCATAACTAACACTTATAAATTGTATTCAGTGATAGGAATCATTAAATTACGACTCCTCACTCCATTCATAACGTGTGCACTATGAGAACCAGGAACTTCAAGTTTAAACCCTATCAATGTTTTGAATTAGCACCGTGAAGAAGTTTTGAATCAAACTAGATAAGAGTATTGTTCACCTTGGCTTTCGATAGTTCTTTAGTTAATATAATGAGAATTAACTTCAGATTATTTGTTAATAAGTTGAAATAAAACTATAGTAATAGTTACTACTTATCTTAGTGTAGTGTTTGTAATATTCTTTTAAGTAAACTTATATTCTGAAATAGTCCACTAAGTAAGAGCTAACTACTTGACAAACACATTTTTAGTAGAGCTAGATTGTGGCTAGCAGTGGAATCAAGGACGCTTTTTTCGTTCTATTTGGGACTCGTCACTTGAATTTACTTGTATTTCTTTGCTGATTTCTATTTAGAGACTCGAACTCAGTGCCGTTCGCTTCAAAAGCCTACAAGTTATCTACTTCATCCAGTAGCTCAGTAGATAATACGTTGGAGTTTGAAACGAAAGGTACTGGGCTCGAGTCTCAATCGTGGACGCCAACACTGGCATGCAAATGCATCTAGCTGACGAGTCCCAAACAGAACGGAACATACGTCTTAGATTCAATTACTAGCCATAAACGAACTTTACTAAAACTTGTTACCAAGGTCCCTATCGAGGCAATCCACTAAGAATGAACATATACCAACAGAGTCTGATCGAAACCAGTTCATAATGTTGGTACTATTAAAACTCAAACCCTCTCTCTTTATATATATATATATATATATATATATATATATATATATATATATATATATATATATATATATATATATGCATTCCTTAAAATGTTTCGTCTGTAATAGTACAGTTTAGAGAATCGTCTAGAATTTTTTTATTCAAATCATCCGAATAGAGGTCTTTATTAAAATTCCTTTATTGTATACTATATTGTAGTTGAATATATTTATGTCGATAAAGATAGTTATAAGGTGCCCAGTTATTTATCAGTTGGTATGCTTACAAAACCATTTAGATGTTTCAGTACACTCCGACTCAGCATTTCAGATAGAAAGTGTCTCACTATTCAGTAGTTTAACTTACATTTTGATTTTAGGTGGTGACCTAAATGAAATATATGTTTAGGATTTCCTTTTTGACATTTTCGTTTAAGTAAAAAATTCACAGTGTATTTTAAGCATATGTATTTCCTTGTGGGCAAATCTTGTAAAGAATATTCTATTATTGACTGTAAGTATTTTTATTATAAATTATCTTCAGCTGAAAAACGTGATTGAAAACCACGAAACTTAAACATTTGAGTCGTTGAAGCATATATTTCTAGAATACTGCCTGGCTTCAACCATAAACCGATTCTTACCTCAGGTTTTCATTCCTGTCCTTACTCTCTTTGTTTCCGTATCTGTTAATTTGATTTTTACTTTACTTTGTTTCTCTAAATAAAAGTCACCTTGAATTATATAAATTTTTCAAACAATCACTTCATTTAAATGTGATTAGGTCATATTGTCTTTCATTTTTTAGACACGTCAAGTTGCTGAAGCAATGAAAGCTCGTGATTTTGATCGTGCTGTTGAATTACGTGGAGCGTAAGTTTTATTTTTGTAATATGGTTAGAATTTTTAAAGATCAGATATATTTAGGTCATTATTAATAAGTTCCATTCAACTTACCTCATCATTTTCAACAGGTATTACTTTTTGTTAAACAACCACTGATTATGAGGAAGCATCGAACGATTGTATCACTAAAGTATGGAGCCTACTAACAGCGAATATTATGAGCACACCGAAGATCGAATATAAGACTTTTAAGTTTCTTGATGAGAGCCTAACCGTTAGATTGTTTAACTGTCACCTATTGATTTACATTTCTTATTTCAATCAATTCGCAAAATTTTACAGTCACATTACAAGTCCATCGGTAAGTAGCTGTCTTACATCGTTCATAGTAGAACTTCACTGATCATAACTTCTCATCAGAATTCCTCTAATTATCTCTTGAAATAATTTACCAAAATCTATGCACTATTAAACATCTGCAGTCATAAAAGCTTTTATTCTTCAAAATTTGTTGTTACACATTAAATATTTCATGTTAATCGTGATTGTCAACATTCATACAGATAGTCTAATGATTATTTAATAATTATTTTCTAAATATTTAGATAATTTGTAACGCAAACACTGATCCTATATATATCAGACGTTTTGGCATTTGTGTTAGTTATATTTTATTAGTTTCAGCTGATATATTTATGGTTCATCAAATCACTGTTACACACACATACACACATCTTTAGTCTACTTACCGGTTTTTGTTTTGACTGTTTATTAAGAAATAGCGTCAGCCATATATTAGCTGTAAACTGTGTGATAGACTTGAAGAATTTAATTGTATATCAATATCATATTTTTCTCATTCAAAATAATCATTGATAGTCAGACAATCTATCAATGATTGGATCCTGAATTAGAAGTTGATTAAATGTGAACCTTTGTTTTGTTTGAAAAGTACATTAGAAACAGCTTATTAGTTAGTATTGAGATCATGAACCGATCAATGTTATACCACTACTGAGAACCTGGAAGCATTAGACGGACGTTTCTTCCTAATATAGGACTCTTCTATGGTTGGTATCCACGATCCTGCACATGGGACTCGAACCAGGTACATTCAGTTCCACACGTGAACGGCTAACCCCTGGACCATTGAGTCGGCATTCGATGGTGTTAATGTTTAGCTTCAATTGATCCATGATCTTGAGTTTGAGCGTCCGGAAGCGGGACCGAATGTCCTGGGTTCGAGTCCCGTGTAAGGGGTCGTGGATGCGTATCGCTGAGGAAATTTATACTGGGACAAAACTGCCATCCAATGCTTTCAGATTTTCATTGATGATCTAACTTTGATCGGTTCATAAATTCAATTACTGAAATAGAATTATTTAAATTAACATTGACTCTCATATTTAAGTGTCCTTTTGAATATCTTATTATCTTTAAACAATAAAAAAGAACACTTAAATCATCTGTTCATATAACATTCATTAAATAGATGATGTAAATTTTAAGAAAATTATTTACAATACTTCAAATTCAATAAAATTTATTTATTAATAAAATTCCAATGAATTATTTATTCATAAATCTATCCATGGGCCCATACATATTGAACTAACGAATAATTTATTAGACAAGATCACTCAAAATTGTTTCACAAAAGTGAATAAATCAAATGACAGTCTATCATATTGTTTTATAAAGTGGATTTAAGGACACTATTTGTTCATATATATAACAATGATATTTAAAAATATCAATATTCAAAATATACCATGAACCTATTCCTTTCAAGACGAAACTGCCTAATATAAATCGATATACTCATAGTAAGATCTTTGGTGTTTGAAGGTGGACGTCGAACATCCTTAGACCTAGTTTTTTTTACTAGTTGAAACTGTATTATTAAAGGCATATGTGCAGTCTTGGGAGAACTAATACTCTACACAAGATTCGAACTCATTTCACTCAGTGCTTAGAAATTAAGTATTACAGTTGAAAAGAAGGCAAAACTAAAAAAAAGACTGATAATCCAGAATACTCTAGTCTTTTTCCACTTAACTGAGTCCTATATTTTGATGGAAAACCCCAAGCGCATCTAAATTTCTACTTGTATCCAAACTGATGTGTGTTTAATAGTTCCAATTAAAATAGTAACCTAACCATTATTTTTAAATAGGTGGGTTTAGCATTTGTTACCAGAAAACATTATTTTGAAAATTGAAGTTATTTTAGTACAGAAGGTTTCTTGAGATTATCGAGACTGAATTTGGTTAGACAATTATTGAAAACGGGGGAACAATATGCAAATATGGGGCTCTGTAGTGTTCATCGACGACTCCACCGGCTGCCGGACTGAGGGACTGAGGCTACTCACTAATACCTAGAGTCGTAATGAGAGGTTATGAATACTAAACCTCAATCATGTAAAGTGTGAGACAATTACCCATCAAAAGAATTTTGAAAAGGGGTGTGCAAAATTATGAATTAAATGAAATCAGAAACGTAACTATTCGAATGCCAACTTGGTAGTCAAAAGGTTAGGGGCTCACTGTTAGCTTCTAAGATCTTGTGTCCGATTCCTGGTGACCTGGTGGATTTGAATTGTTCGGTAGCATCATACTAAGACGAAAGAACTATCGGCTACTTCTTAGTTTTCATTGGCTACCTAACTAAGCTGAGTCTTTAGTACAAACTATTGGATCATTTTGTCTTTGTTTTCTGTATTTAAGGCGTAATAATAATAAGGAAGGATTTACTAAAAGAGATAATTATATGGAGATATACATTGGACATAAGTATGCCTCTTGAATAGCATGTAAGCATATCATCATGTTACAGTTATTAAGAATGATAAATTCCATCATTTATCGCACTTTAGGATACTAGCGTTAATGAACACTTAAGAAAATCTATTTCTTTTTGAGGTAGAATGGATTCGAACAATAATACTTAATATAATATGTAGATGACTGATGTAGTAAATAAGCTTCATCGTCCTATTTGATCTATTTTCAAATTAACAATTATAGAATGATAGATTTTAACCACATCGTTTTTCAAACGTTAGTCTATTCTTTGTGTCGCTCAATTACCAAACAATTACTTTCGAATAGTCAATCAGATTATTCTTTATGGACAAACTTTCCTTTGTCTTTTATTGTCTTCATAAAATGTGAATAACTTCAACGGTCGGTTTTCATATAATAAATGTTTCTCTGGAATAATAAGTATTAGAGTATAGCTCAAGAAGATAAGTAATGGTATTAATATCAGGTTTCAAGAGATGGATTTCACTATGTTTCACAACGTTTAGACTGTCAGTCTTTTAGCGTAGTTTGTATATTTGTTGTCGTTTTTTCGGTTAATACAGTAAAATGTTTTTGTCTACCTTATCACATAATTTCAACGAAACACATTCCATGTAATGATCTAAGCGTATATGAGAAATAGGTGTATGAGTACCAACCAGTAGATTTCAGTAATCATGAAAACAGTAGTAATGAATTCACTAAACTCACTGATGAAAACAGACAGTTTGGCTGGTGTACAGTCAAAAGTTATATTTTAGAATCTTACCATTAATAAAACTTTACTTGGTAAAGTGCTCGATACTCTTTTAAAATTAAAAAATTAATAGTTATTGAAGGTTTAAAGTGAGTTTCAGTTTATACAATGCATAGACAAATGTAAACATAATTCTCTTTTTATGGAGCATTACCAAAATGGCTCAGTGGCGTTCAATTAATCAAAACCATTATGAAATGTAATTACACTACATTTTCAACATAGATTTCTACATAAAAAGGAATGAAGTCATCGTATTTTTTCTGTCAGTGATCTAAAACTTAAAATCAGTATTCAAAAAAGGGGGGTGTCTCCATTTGACGTTTATACCTTCAAACAGCTTGTAAAGTTTTCACATAAATACATAACTTTTGTTAGTGGAAATTCTTGCTTAATCATAACTAACTGAAAGACTATCCTCTTCTGAGTTAACATTTTTAATTTATAACTTACCAAATACATGCATACGTGCTTAACTTTCAGTTACGTAATTTCATATAATTTGCTAATGATAACCAAAGGTTGTTCAGATGAACTGAAGTTAAGTAAGGTTCAAATTTACCACTGACTTATTGAATGTCTAATACTCTGAATACGAAACTTTACAACACTTTACTGGTTAATTTAAATTATATGTGAAATCTTTATCAGTGCTCATCCACGATCCCGCTCGCGGGGTTCGAACTCAGTGTCTTTAGTCTCGCGCGCGAACGCTTAACCTACTTGACCACTGAGCTGGCATCCAACGGTCTAACTTCAACCAATCCACGAAATTGCGCCACCATCTTCCATTGTTTGAGGTAGATACCTGTCTCTACCCGACGCGGAATAACTCCACTGTTCACGGCTTCTCACTAGAACTCCGAGAATCCCCTCACGAAGCTAGTCACTAGTGAGCACATGGTAAATATCAATATAAGGTTGTGGAGGTTATTAAGTTATTGATTGAGATCTTGAACCAATTGATGTTAGACCATCATTGAAAACCTGGAGGCACTAGACGGCCCTTTCGTCCTATTATGGGACGAAGGCCCTGGGTTTGAATCACGCGAGCGGGATCGTGCATCCGCACTGCTGAAGAGTCTAGTGCTTCCAAGTTTCCAATGGTAGTCTAACATCAATCGGTTCAAGATCTCAATCAAAAACTTAATAATCCTCACAACCCTATACTGATAAATCTTTACCAATCAACTAATTCATTTATAATACTTTACTAACTATACAGTGTTAAGATTATTTTGATTCCATGAATAAAAGTAGATTAACTGATCATATGTTAAATAAAAATATAAATTTTTTTATGAAAAACAAAATAATTTATATGTCAATTAAATCTCAATTTTAATTGAGCTATACATTATATGTATATTGTTTAACAGTACTATGATGAAACATAAATAATACGATGTATAGTTGTATGATGTAATCATCTATAAATTACGTGAAAATATGTACCTCTTAAT